ATTGAATTGGTTCTTGGTTTAACATGATAAAACCTAGTTGACTGTGAAATTTGGAAAGGTTTGGAGGTCCGGTTCAAGGTGAACTGGCCTCGGTTTGCGTGCTAATGTCTGGAATTAGGGTTTTTGGCCTGGTTTGGCCTAATTTTAGAGGTTTTTGGCTAGGTTAACATGATTTCTAGGGTTTTTGGGTCTTTTGGATTTGATTTTAAGGTTTTCGTGGCCAATCGAGTTGAGTCTGAGGTAGTTTTGGGATTGGGTTAGGTTGGTTCGGGGGTTTCAGAGACCGGTTCACTATGAGTTGGGGGTTGCGGAGGCTGGTCCTCTACTGTTAAGGGTTGTTGAGCTGAAGTATGAGTATTAGTGAGTCGCGTGAGATCCGGTGATGGGAAGTGGTGTATCGGGATGCGTGTCAGGTATGGGAATGGGATTTAAGTCTTGTTTTGGGCTGTCGAGTCGTTTGGGTACTGACGATGAGGTCGGTGACGGTTTGTATGGTTTTGACTTCAAGTTCACCCGTGGAGAGCACCGAGACCAGAGAGTTCATTGACGTGACTTGAGGCTTTTGTTAGATTCGGCCTACGGTGAGTAATAATACCCTCTCTATGCATGTATTTTTGTGTGCCTGTTTTCCTAGCATGATTATTATGTGGATTCATAAACTGCATCTTGATACATGAATCGTGTGATATGTATTATGTGTTGCTTTCTGTTTGGTGGGATATATATTGGTATGTAAAACTAGGTTGGAATTTGGAAACTGTATATGTTGTATGTTTGTTTGTGTGGATGTGTGGGGAGTTCACGATGCGCTGAGACCGTTTGCTCCGGTCGTGAGATGGAGGATACCTCTCGATCGGGAGTGTGTAGTAGTTGCCTGGGTGGGCGTATGGCTCTGGTTGTGAGATGGAAGATACCTCTCAACTGGGAGCGTGATGTGTGACTGTGTTGGGGCCTGATCGCGAGATGGAGAATTCCTCCGATCGAGGCCAAAGTCTCAGTGATCATTGGACTTCCAGTTCTGTGTATATTTTATGTTGGTATTGATCATTGTATGTAAGTTTTTGACTTGCACGTGTGGATGGTGTTATGTGATGTGATGTGATGTGGGGATGCCAGGAACTCGGCTGGAGTACGGTGGTCCGTAGCGTCTAGTGGTGAGTGGCCTGGGTCGTGTGTGATTTGGCGATGCCAGGAACTCGGCTGGAATATGATGATCCGTAGCGTCTAATGGTGAGTAGACCTGGGTCCAGTGTTGCGATGTGATTTGATGTGTTGCAATGTAATGTGATGTGTGGTTAGTGGTATCTCTCAGAGTATAGTTGATGTATTATTAATTGTTGTATATGTCAGTATGGTTTAAATTGTGACATAATGCATATTCTGACATGTATAGAGTAGGTATCGTCCGTACTCACTGAGTTTTGCGACTCACTTATTATAACCTTTTCAGATATAGGTTGTTGATATCGGGTTGCGTGCTGGGATCGAGACGATCGTCTGCCACTTTAGTCATTGTACGGGCGAGTTCTTTGTTTATTATTTTGTACTCTAAGACTCCCTTTATCCCTCAGGCATGATCCTGGTTTGTAAATGACGGTTTTGAAATGTATATATATAGATTTTTGGGCTAGTTTTGGTACATGTTTGCGATGGTAAGGCTGATTAAGATTGAGGACCCTAGTACCAGTCAGGGTCTGTGTTGGGGTCCTGACATAATACAATTACTCTAAGTCTACTCTAACTTAGGTATCAAATAATTCCATCATGGTAGACTTTTTTGGTCCCCATTCGTTTTCTTAGAAGAAGAAAATTGTTGTTGTACAAATTTTGGCGCAGGCTCTAAATTTTGAATTTCTAACTTTTCTTAATATTTTTTATCTGGAAGTTGAAAAAATATCAATCTATAAGTATTAAAATTTATTTGAAATAATGCACTTGTAAAAACAGGATTCAAGCAGGGGTGTTAGGCCTGGGGAAAATATGTTTTACATGTTAGTTGGCTTTCTACAAAATTAGAGCATTTGAATTTTATGGAAATGAAAATTAATTCTTCGAGGAGAGAGTGATTTATATAATGTACCATTCAATTACCAAAATTTGATACTTTACATCTTAGGTAGGGTGTAAAATATTAAATTTTGATAATTGGAGATACATTGTACAAATGACTTTCAAGAAATCGATTTAGGATATTTGGTTCTCACAGTAAGAAGTTGGTTTGGAGTTTTCTCATGGAAAGTCAATAAGTTTTTTATATAAATTAAATGTTTAAAATTTAATATTTTTATGGAATCATAAATATATTTGAAGAGAAAAATAAAACTCATACCCCAAGTATCCTCTTAGAGTTTGGTACAATTACAACACAGAAATTTTCTAATTAGATACACTAAAAAGGAACCAACTTTCTAGTGAAGTCTCGCTTTGAAATTTCACAAACAAAATCATTTTTTTTTTCTTATCATAAAAAAATATAAAAAAATGCCAACATCAAACATCTCGTTAAAATGGAGACAGAGAATCTGTAAAACAGATGATTCACGCGACATTACCGCGTAAAATACTTAATCAAGTTAAAATACAAATAATAATAATGTCAGGAGTCACGTGAGAGGTTAATTTATATTATGTTTGGCGCCGCCCACATAACGTTAACGGCGGAAGATGAATTGAGTCCGTTAGAAGTAAAAGTACCCGTCCTCCTAATCACTGGAGTCTTTTCCACGTTACTGTGTGTGTGGTCAATCTCTAGCCTGGGTCCCCTGCAAATGCCAGCCGTTGGATGGTCTAAGATATTCCAGACATAAGACATACTGGTCCACGGGTGTCCACAAGTGCCGGGGAGGGACAGCAGTCGAGTAGGCTAATCAGACAAGACTCCCTCAGCCGTCAACATCCAACCCTCCTGTTGCATTCGTATGGTCGTCTTCTGTATTGACTCCTGCTTAATTTACTTGCAACCCGACATAAAATTACATGAATACAAGAAACATATCTTCGAGTGGCACAATTGTTTATTGTTGGCTAATTTACAATAATAATAATAATAATAATATATTTTTTTTATTAAAATTAATTGTTAATAAATTATTTATCAAAATAATTAAAAAAATTTTAGAGTTGATAAATTGAGTTTTAGGGACTCCATTTCTTAATTGGCCAAACAATTCCCGTTTAACAGATGAAGACGGAAGCTCAAGCTTTGCATGACTGGCGGGAATAGATGACTAGAGCTGTGCATGACCCAGAACTCCTATAATGGGCTGTGTGGGGCTCCGTCCATCTGTGCAAAGCTTTCGTCTGGGATCGGAGTTCTGTACACAAAGAAAAGAGTTCTCCTCCCATACAGGAGCTTGGCACCCTGCCTAAAATAGACAGGAGGTCCAGGAGAGAGCTCCACAGAGCCCGTCACATGGAGCTTTAATTTCACTGTTTTTTTGGATAATTTTGTTATATTTCTTTCAATATTGAAACAGAGTATTTTGTGAGGAGATAGACTTTGTTAGAAATATCTATTTTAATTTACTTCACCAAATCATTCGTATCCAAACACAATTTAACTATTTTTTTGCTATACAAAAAAAAAAAAACTGAAAGGCAAATACAGAATTAGTCATTTTAATAAATTTGTTAGTTTATTCTATTTCTGCTTGTTTGGACTTTTTTTTAATAAATTAGAGAGAATTGCTTTTTAATTTTATTTTTAGATAACTTTCACTTAATTAAATCAAAACTGTTAAAATCTCAAAATTTATATTGAAAAATCTTAAAAAGTCTTCCTTTTAGAATTTACTTTGAAAAATGGGGTCATATTAAATTTGGGTTATATTATTGAAAAATCTCAGCTGAAAAAAATAAATAGTATTATTGCAATTGACATTTTGTCTATAAAAATTTCTTTAATTTTTGGCCCTTTGTTTTAAACAGAGCATAACTATTATTATATATAAATATTTTCTTATGAAATATGATGTTGATTGACTAACCAATATAATAAAAACAATTTTTATGCTATTCTAAATATCATCAAATGTATATTCATTCACGGTTGGTTTCACCTGAAAAGGCAATGCAATCTTCTCATACTATTAATAAATATTTTATTAAAAATAATTTCATTGCAATTTGTTGATTGATTTCCTCTAAATTTAAATTAGAGTTAATATTTTGTTATAGTTAGTTTCTTAATTATTTATGTGTGCTAGGGAACAATTGCACAATTTGGTTGGCAAATCGAATTTTTACAAAGATGTGTGATCTTATTGCCATTAGAACTCTCCCTTGAAAACTTGCCCGGTTAATAGATGGTGATAGAATAATTTCTATGTAGTTTATTTCATAGTATTTCCTATTTTGGACTATTTGACCCTGTTTATCAATAAAAAAATTTATATTAAATAATACACACCCAATCTTTGAATCACAGACTATTTTGATACACCCGCATGTTTAGTAAGGTAACACTTTCTATGCATCAATTCTAGTTCCTTGGAAGGGGTGTCATTTGGAGGACATGATATGTTTGGATTAAGCAACTGATCATGAATACACTGAATTTTGCCACTTTCATTATGGTTGCTGGAATGGGTGTAAGGCTTGCTTCCATCGGACCTGGACCTGGAGTTGGTCAAAATACTCCTGCTGGCTAAGCTGTAAAAGGTACCACGAGACAGGTCGAGACAAAGGTAAAAAATACCAGGTACTTTATTGTTTAATTTGACTTCTACAGAAGTTGTGATTTTCATGGACTAGTTGTATCATTTACACTTTTGTCTGTAAAACATTTTGTTTAATTTTAGAAATCGAAAAAATTTGTATTTTTCAAATTTTATAGCTTTATCTATGCAAGTTTTGAATTTTTACTCTATGGATAAGATGAGTTTTAAATCAATAAATATTATTAGAGATAAATATTTTAAAGAGATAATAATTAAGAGATAAACTTTAAAGTTTAGATACAATTGGAGATAAATTTTATCTTTATATTTACCTTAATATAAATGGAAGTTAAGTTGGATGCACAGATGTTGAAAAATATTTTCATTATGTCAAAAGTGTACTTGGGCTTCAAAAAAAACTTTTCTGAATTATTGTTGTTTTCAAGATTCGATTCGGAGTTTAACATTATCATATATTTTTATTTTATTTAAATTCGTTAATGAACAAAACTTACTGAAACAGTCGCCTGGAAGCCTGGCGGCTTGTTTGTTCTTAGATTTTTTGTATTTTTAATTCGCAAAAGGCCACCAAACGGCCGGTGGCACGAGTCAGTACGGGGACGGTAAAAGCTGCCGCCAAAACGAACACTCAATTCGCATTGGGCGGTAAGTCAAAAAAGCCGACGGAGTAAATTTTCGCTTTTGTCCTTTTTCATATGCTTTTGAGTTCAAGCACCACCATATATATGGCTCTTGAAGGCAGGTGGGGGAGATAGCAAGCAAACTCGGCAATTTATTTCCTTTACCTGTCAAAACTCAAAAGGGAATCGACCAACGTCTTATTCGGACGGATATGCGCATTTTCCGTCTCTGAAAATCAGAGAAAAGACTCCTTACAGTCTGTTTCAATTCCAATTCCTTCAACGATTCACTTCTTCCATGTACGGTTCAGTGCTCTTCAATCTTCACACCAAAGTTATGCATGACAACGATGTTGAGCTTTCAATTATTGGTCTTGATTTTTAACCTTAAACCGCGTATTATTAATACGTAATTTGAAATTTCCAACTACGTATCATTTTCTACTTTGTCTATTGAAGACTGGAGAAGAAACTGAATGATGTCATGAAAATGTTTATAGTGCAGATCAGGCCGAGTAAGTGAGTTGGATTGGACTTTTTTAGCGCGATGGAGCAGAGGAACTTGCTTCTGTCGGCATTGAGCGTTGGGGTGGGAGTGGGGCTTGGTTTGGCCTCTGGACAGGCGGTGAGCAAATGGGCTGGCTATAATTTCTCCGGCGAAGGCGTTAATGCGGAGCAGATCGAGCAGGAGCTTCTGCGTCTTGTCGTCGAAGGCAAGGAGGGCGAAGTCACCTTCGACGAGTTCCCTTATTACCTCAGGTGAAGGAAAGCAGTTCTTTTAATGAATCCTCCTATGTTCTGTGTTAATTGATTGATCATAATTAATAATCACAGATGCGAGTGAACTTATTGGACAATGATATGCCGGGGAGTCGTCATGGATTAGTACACTGGAACAATCATTTTCTAGACATATTTTCGACACAAATTTTAGTTGTCATTATTCTGTCAATGAGCGATGATCAGTGCCTTCATTTGCCTCACGGTCCAAGATATATGTTAACTCTATGAACTGTGATGTCTATATTCGCCCTTCACGTTCCCTCGTTTTCTGATTTCAATCGTTAGAGATTTTATTTTTATTTTTTTGGGGAGGGAGGTGGGGCTGGGAGGTTGGGTGTGCCCAAAAAACAGCATCTTTTTGATGCATGCTAGTGAAATTCACAGATACATGGGTTCCAGAAAGGCGAATATCGCAGAGTTTTTTTTTTTTAATTTTTAATTTTTTTCAAACTGGAAAACCTATTTTCATTTTCTTTCAGATGTTCTGTTCGGAGTAATTTCAGCTTATTCATGCAGATCAATATAGTTAACAACTGCTTGATCTTATGGTGTTAATAATCACATAATATATTTCGTCTCATGTTCTATATAAATTGTGCGTGTTTGTGGCGGGGGTGGAGGTTGCTTTTTGGTTCCGAGTCATATTTATCAAGCTCTACCAACCTCTGAAGCATTCTGTGTAAAACTGAATCGAAATTTCAGTTCTGGCCAGAATACTATTTCTCTCTGTTGGAGACAGAGAACTAAGCATAAACTATTTCATCAGTTAAAAAGAAGAAAAATTTATCAACTTAATTAATTATATTTATTATAGTATTTTTCTTTTTTGTTAAAACCGTTGCATTTCCTGTGAAATGCATATGTTGCAAGCTTCTAACTTCAACATAAAGCTAGCAAAGAAAGAATAATTTCAATTCACATAACAAGCATTCTGATTTTCTCGTTTCTTTGATGGTAATGACAGTGAGCAGACACGGGTGTTACTGACTAGTGCTGCCTATGTTCATTTGAAGAACGTAGATGTTTCCAGACACACCGTAATCTTTCCCTGCAAGTAGGGCTATATTGCTTTCAGGGCTGCTGGTATGCTTTCAGATATTACATTATATTATTATGTTTTTCAACTCATTTTCCCAACTAATTAGCTTTCTTGTGTGTTTTTTGTTTTTTCTTCTTCCCTTTTATCTTTATATATATATATTATGCTTGGAAGAACTTTACCAGCAAAGGCTTGCAAAAGCTCTTGCACATCATTTTGAAGCAAAGTTGTTGTTATTAGATGTTACTGACTTTTCCCTGAAGGTAACTAAATAGAATTGTCAATATTATTTAAAATTGAAATTTGTTACTTTGTCGTTCTAATATTTTGGTCCTTTATTTCCCTCAGATGCAAAACAGGTATGGGAATGACAGAAAAGATTCAGTAAGTTGTCATAAATTTTTCTCTTATTGGTTGAATATAATTGTTGTTTTCCTAGACGTAAGAATATCTTCAGTCATGAGTGCTTCTGATCTGAACCTGTGGAGAGTGGACAAGCTTACCCATAACTACAGTAAAATATACTGCAAAAACTTTTTCCAACTTGTCTTTTTGTTTCTACAAGAATGGAAAAGACTCCTTCTAGTGTAAAGCAGAGCATTTCCTTATTCTTGGCCTCTTTTACCAGTCCTTGAAGAGGTCCATCTCAGAGACAACGTTGGGCCGAATGTCCAGTTGCTTGGTTCCATCTCAGTTCTGCCCTCAAGGGAGCAAGACAGAGGTATGTGAAGGATTTATGGTTCAATTTGTTTTCATTGTTTGTTCCTCATTGAAACTCACCAACAAGAAAACTCTGCATGACTTGATTTAACATTTTCCTTTACTTATTATATTTTTGTGCGAATTGCTGATTTATTGCGGTTCAATAAAAATATTCATTGTCGCATGTAGCATTGGCGTATGTTACTGTCCCAACTGTTTCCCTCTCTATATTCAGTTTGTCTGGAGCTCAAAAGACAGATGGAGTAGGTACTTCACTGCAAATATACAGCAATTACCTAACTCAAAAAATGATATGATCCTGCAGACTATGAGATTTTTCTGTCTTTGGTTCTATGGTAACATCATCAGAAGCAGAGAAATAAGTAAATCATTTTCATGAATAAAGGAGAAAGACGGTCCATGTTTCCTCTATCGAGAAAAGATTTGATATAAGAAGAAGAAAAACTAGTTGCAAATTCTTTCCCTTCAGTGCTCCTTCTATACCATTTGTTTTGGAGGGGAGGTTTTGCGAGGAAAGCAAACTATACAAAGGTGAATGGTTGGTATTAACTTCATTTGGATTACTTTTAAGACATGAAGGGAAGTTTATGAAGGGTTGGGAACAGTTGAGAGCTTACATTTTCTGCAATAAGCTTTCCCTCCGAAAGAAGGAGGAAACTTAGGGGAACTGAAGTGCATAATGTCACAATTCTCGATTAAACAAATTGAATCCAATTTACTGATATAAAGTGCAAGTGGTTTTTTATGCTTATTTTCTGAGTCTTCTTTTCCTTGTTACTTTTACTTCCCCCAGTTTCTTATTAGAGCAAGTGCATGGAGAGTTAGATATATAATTTGATGAAGTGTTGGCCATGTACAAAAGGAAAAATTTGCGTGTTCCTGTTAGGGATTTGATCTGTTTTGTCCTACTACATTTTGCATTAGTTAATGTTGTATACTTCTTCCAAACTTTTCACTGAATCTGTTGGTGATTTTTTGTTCACACCTTTCTTTAATACGGTTTATATTAAACACATTTCTACAGGCACACCACACAGGCAAAGTAGTGGTTTGGATATTAAATCAAGGTATGGTAGTTAAATTGTCGTAGACTCAGCTTAATCAGTAAACACAAAGTTTTAGCATTTAATTTTAATTTTTATTTTTATCTCTTGTATATATCTTATACCTTGTAGGGTTTTGAAAGTTGTACTGACCTTGCAAAACCTCGTCGAAGTGCATCTACTTCTTCTAATATGAGCAGCATCAGTTCTGAGTCCTCTTCTCCACATTCAGGTTATAACTTAAAGAAAATTGTTTTGGCTACTTTCTGAAGCCAGAAGAAGATGAAATGTTTTTAGGTGTACTTTTTGACAAATCTTTGTTTTTTTAATGAATTTCTTTAGTTCATTGCAGTTGGAAGACATTCACTTTCTGGCAAAAGTGTAGGCTTTGTGACTTCTTTTTTACTAAAAAGGAAAATATGCAGAATTGTTTCAGTTATAGCTTCTCTGCCGTTCAATGCAGTTGAACTAGTTTGAGAACTGATCCTTAATTATGGTTCTTGAATGATTCCTGAGGTGGCAGTTAAAAATAAAAAAGAAAAAGTAGATTTCACCTCTGATATTGCCATTTTGGGCATTGGTCATAATATCCAGTTGACTATATCACAGATAATCTTGATTAAAACTTCTCCACAATGTTGTCAGTAATCTCCCTTGTACTCCTCACCTTTGATCGTCATGTATGATGAATTCTTTGATCATGTTTCTCCTACTACCAATTTCCAGGTTATACGAGAAGAATGTCCCCCCCGAACTATAGTTTTAAAATATTTACTTGCTTATTCTTTGAATGCTTCTGGACCTATGGAAGTTTCATTTATATATAGTCAAAGACTCTTACACCCATGTTCATGGGGCACAAATCTGCACAAGTACCTTTCTTGCAGAATCTGTCCTTAAATCTTTTAAACAGGGAACCTGAGCCACTGACATCAAATTGAGAGGTCCAGAGTGGTCCATTTTGCCTACAGACTGGTGATATTAATGTTTTCTTGAACATAAGATTAGTTTAGTCCCTACCACTGCTTAGAATAACATTTGATTAATGATTGGTGGCTTCCAGAAGTTACTTGTCCGTAATTCCACATCCACTTTACAAGGACTTTTTTGGTGCTCTAATTTCTAAGTTGTTATATACCATTTTATGCAAGCTTTATGCTCTCTTTCATGCAAATGGTTACTGAAGAGTTACTTCATGTTAGGCCAAATCATAAGTTGATTAATGTTACTGATCCTTGGGACTTGCTTCTTTTCCTTTTTCTTTAGCTCCTCTCAAGCGCACGAGCAGCTGGTCTTTTGATGAGAGACTTTTCTTACAGTCACTTTCAAGGTATTGTCATGGATAAATTGCTTGTTTCAATTCTCTAAAAAATTAAAACATTTCATTCTGGATTTCTCCTGCTGACTTATTAACTATTTTTCTTGGTTGTTTGTGATTTTTTCTTGATTTTGGTGGTGATGTGATTTCTTCACTTAAATTAAATATCCTGATTATGTAGCTTATCTTAGAAGGTACTCACCGGCAGGACCATTGCAGGTTTTGGTTTCATTATCTGAAACGAGCTCTATCATTCTCTACATCAGGGATGTTGAAAGAGTTCTGCTCAAATCCCATAGTCTATACAAATTGTTTGACAGAGTGTTAAAGAAACTGTCAGGACCAGTTCTAATACTTGGCTCCCAAATATTGGACTCAGAAGGTGACTACTGTGAACTGGATGAGAGACTTTCCCTTCTATTTCCCTATAACATTGAGATCGAGCCACCTGAAGATGAGATTCATCAAGCGAGATGGAAGGCCCAGCTGGAAGATGATATGAAGGTGATCCAGTTTCAGATAACAAAAATCACATTGCTGAGGTACTTGCAGCAAATGATATTGTATGTGATGATCTAGGTACAATCTACCAAGCAGACACGATGGTTCTCAGTAACTACATAGAGGAGATTGTAGTGTCAGCGATATCTTATCACTTGATGAATAACAAGGATCCAGAATACCGAAATGGAAAGCTTGTCATATCATCTGATAGGTAATGCTGTATTTATAAGTGGTGGTGATGTTTTAGTTTAATTGTTTATTTATCCTTTTCTTTCATCTCTCAAAATCACTTTATGTAGTTGGTTTTCTGGCTCTTGAACAGTTTGTGCCATGGATTTAGCATCTTCCAGGAGAGGAAAAAGGGGGGAAAGATGTGCTCAAATTGGAGACTAATGCCAAATCTTCAAGGTTTGTTTCATTATCCAAACTTCCTCTAAGAATGGAAGAAAGTATGCAAGTATTGTTCTATGCTCTAATGTGCTTTAGTCGTTTATCCTTTTTAGCACTCTTCAAACAAGAAGGTTGATGGGTTGAAGCCTGATGCAAAGTCAGAGTTCCTGCCATCAAAAGAAAACAAAGACGAGACAGAGAAAACTCTTCCTTGTTCAAAGAAAGATGGTGAAAGCCTACATCCAAAAGTGCCGGTAAGAACTTATCTGACAATATTTAAATGAAAGGAGAGATGTGAATTTTATAAGATTTATAGGATACTTTATACTAGAATAAAGAACACTTAATAATATGTAAAGTGATAAAATGTACCTTTCGAAACCATTTGTTGTTGACTAACCGTATAGGACTAATGAATACAAATGTGCAATCTAATACCGCACAAGCACGATCTTCTACTTATAAGTATGCTATCATGATTTCACGGTGTTTCCATTTTCAAAATTTTATATAGAAAACATTGACAGTATATTTATGTTATTTTTAATTTTAAGCCTATTTTCTTGAACCAATTGCATTTCAATCTTGTTTTAAGTTTTTGTTGCTGCTTTTATTTCAATAAAAACAGAAAACAGACCCCCCCCCCCAAAAAAAAAAAAAAAAAAGTGAAAGCAAAAAGGATGGCCACTTTCGTTCAACAAAAACTCCCATTGTTTTGGCCTTTTCAGGAGGCTTTAAAGTGCTTATGAAGCAATAGCATGAACAAAAACCCCCAGGTGACATTAACCCCAGCCCCTTATAATAAATAGACTGGTTATGTGGTCTGAACATATGATACTTGTATTAAGAGCAAAACAAAGACACTTTTACCTCAGCGAATACAAGGTAGGTTTATCTAATATTTTTGCCTAGATAATAGATAATATACAGAAACTCATGTAATTATATCCAAACATAACATGATTACAAAAAGGAAGGATGGTAAGGAGGTCATATTGATGACCCAATGCAAAAGCTTGTTTCTATAATTGAATTTCTGTAAGTAACTTGATAATTTGACAATTATTTCAAAAATTGTATCCTCTTAATTTATTCTGACCTTGCTTTTCTTTCAACTGTCACCTCAATGGAATACTGAGCAGTTTGAAGTGATACAGAATGGATGGAATGGGGATTATGTCCTATTTATAGAAAAATGACCTGGATTCTGTTCATCACAAAATCTTAAGAGATTTAGGGTATATCACACTTACCAATTGGGCTTATGCCCAAATCAGTTGATTCCCAATTCATGGGATCACTTACTTAAATAAATGGATTTCAGATATACCAGACCATCAATTCAACCAGATTTTTATAGATTACAAAAATCAATTAATAGTAGCCCAAAATATTCGGAAATTTTAACAAATTTCACTGACACAAAAAATTGTCCCACATGGTGATCTTTCTCAGAAATTGAACAGCTGATAAATCCTTAAATGGATCTAGGATTATATTTGAACCAAATTTTTTGATCCGCTAGAAGTTAATTGTCTTCCATGCTATCTTTCAAAAGTTTAAGAAGTACCTTAACTTGCTGGCTTCGTTTGGAAAAAAATTGCAAGTTAACTTACTACAATTTTTTTTTTGGAGGTAATGAAATCTTATCTTAGCAAAATTTAAACTAGCCATTTGATTTATTTCCTGCCAACAAGTGAAAAGAAAAAAGAAGGCTTATGTCAAATGGAGACTAAATTTAATTGGAAATAATTTGTACCATTATGCAACACCGTGTTACGAAATTTTAGGGAGAAGTTTCTTCATATCAGTGACTGGCTGTCTGTTTTGACTTTTAATATCATATACTTCTGTATCTGGCATGCCATCAACAAGTCTCACAAAATTCTTGAATTTTATAGATCAACAGATGTCTTTCTATATGCTCTAATTTACTTCAGCTCTTGCAATTTCTTCCACTCTCGTGAACAATATGGTTTCCCAGCAGGAAGTTCCACCAGACAATGAATATGAGAAACGTATAAGGTCAGAGGTAATCGCCGCAAATGAAATTGGAGTGACATTTGCAGATATTGGAGCACTGGATGAAGTTAAAGAATCACTCCAGGAGCTGGTCATGCTCCCTCTTCGACGACCAGAACTTTTCAAAGGTGGCCTTCTTAAGCCCTGCAGAGGCATATTGCTTTTTGGGCCTCCAGGCACTGGGAAAACAATGCTGGCAAAGCAATCGCCAACGAAGCAGGTGCAAGTTTCATAAATGTCTCCATGTCAACCATAACTTCAAAATGGTTTGGAGAAGATGAGAAGAATGTCCGAGCTTTGTTCACACTGGCAGCAAAGGTTTCTCCCACTATAATTTTTGTGGACGAGGTTGATAGCATGCTTGGCCAGCGGACAAGAGTTGGGGAACATGAGGCAATGAGAAAGATTAAAAATGAATTCATGTCACATTGGGATGGGCTGTTGTCAAAACAGGGAGAACGCATTCTTGTTTTAGCAGCAACAAACAGGCCATTTGATCTTGACGAGGCAATAATTAGGCGGTTTGAATGCAGGTATTTGTTCTTTTTGAAGTCATGATTATAATTGTTGAGACATCCTTGTGTCTAAACACATCTTCTGCAGGTTCCTAAACTGTGGGCATGTTTTGAGCTTCATATTTGTTTTTTTGACTTTAATGGTCACCGTGAATTTAACATTCATGTTTTATAAGTTAATTACGTATCTTAATTTTATGGTAATGTCCCTATGTAAAGTTCCAAATTAGTGTTTCTGTTTCTGGCATTCACCTACAACTATCTTTTAATTAACTGTATAAAAAATCTGTATAACCTTAATGATAAAATAAAAGATTGAAGGATAAGACTGTAGCAAGATGTCAACTACACTGAGCTATTTATGCTCCTGTGAACAGAATAATGGTTGGTCTCCCATCCGTTGAGAGCAGGGAAATGATCCTGAAAACTCTATTGGCAAAGGAAAAAGTAGAAAATCTAGACTTTAAGGAGCTTGCAGCAATGACAGAAGGATACAGTGGAAGTGATCTCAAGGTTTGTTCAATTTTAATCACATTGTTTGGCTGGATTTTTAGAGGAAAGCTTTATCTCGAGGTTTGCCTTTATTGAAAGCAGAATTTGTGCACAACTGCGGCTTATCGACCTGTTAGGGAGTTAATACAACAGGAGAGACTAAAGGTACTCTTTGTTGTTATAAGTTTATTACTGTTTCTTCTGATAATTGTCTACAGCTTATGTTTTGATTTCTCTTTTATATTAAACTTTGTAAACAGGAGAGGGAGAAAAAGGCTGAAGAAGGGAAGAGCGTGGAAGATGCTTCGAATACAAAGGAGGAAAATAAAGAGGAAAGAGCAATTACTTTGAGGCCCCTAAACATGGAAGATATGAGACACGCAAGAAATCAGGTAACATCTTACCCTTTCTGCCCACAAAACAATTCCCTCCCCCCCCCCCCCCCCCCACAAAAAAAAAAAAAAGAAAATCTTTAATTCCCTAGAGAAGTTGTCCTTCTGGCTTATCTTAATAATTGATATTGGAACTCTGGGGACATCTTATGATGCTTCCTTGAACCTGTTTCTTTGAATCAAGTATCCTATAATTATTTTCGTTGTGCATATTTGGACATTCCTGAATTTCCCAATTCCATGACTCTGGTCAATCTGGTTTCTCCCTGTTGTCTTACTTTCTTATAATTTTCTTTTTCTCTTATGCGAATTTGGTGTCTCACTAAATGATACTTTGTTTTATGACTATAACATGGGGCGATGCTGATAATACATGGATGACGCATAGAGTTGAGAAATTATATCAAATAATATCCTGATAATTCGCTTTATATATAGATATGTGAATGGCTCAAAAAGTGTTATCCTTGTGCAGGTTGCTGCAAGTTTTTCTTCAGAGGGTTCTGTAATGAGTGAACTGAAACAGTGGAATGACTTGTACGGAAAAGGAGGTTCAAGGAAGAAGCAGCAGCTGACTTACTTCCTCTAAGGATTGTAGATTGATTGTTTACATTTCATAATCTCATCAGCATCATTTTCGCCAACAGTACAGAGGTTGAGAAACTAAAAGGCCTTTACTAGGAATCTGACCAATACACTTGTCAGAATGGTGAGGCAGTGCATTGAAGCAAAGGCCTGTTAGCCCTCAAACCAGAATCAAGAAATGAAGGCACACGCAGGAAAATGCTTGAACCGGCATGCAATGTTTTCTCAAAAGATTTATTCAAAAGCATATGTATATAATGCACTAGAGAGAAAAAAGTTCATCGTAATTCTTTAGCAATTCTAGAGACCACACCCCTCTTTGGCTATCCCTGTATTGTGAATTATGCACCTCTTTTTTTTTTTTTTTTTTGGGTACTTGGAAGTGCAAATGGGTTTCAGTGTTTGCCGCTTGAATATGTTCAAAATGTTCATTTTTTACTGCTGCATGCTTTGATCATTCATGTCGATAAATACTCTATGGAAATGTGCTATGCTTTATGGAACAGACTTGATTAAGGTACTCACATCCAACCCTAGAGTGGGGAAGCTAATTTTTGAACAACTGAAGGCTTATTAGAAAGGGAAGAACAGCATTTTGGCAGCTGTTCTATAGCATTTATGGAGAAGAAAAAGGAAGAAAAACCGACTATTCATGTTAATGGATGAAAGCCATACAGAATAATATAAAAACAACAATTTTCGATTAACATTGTTTATTTATTTTAAGTAGTTACGGTATTATTATAAATTAATTTGATCATGGATTAGCTATGATGTTACATTCACTTGTCATTTAATAGAAGTCTTGAGTATTACTTCTGTTTTCCACTTTGCTTTTTTTTTTTTTTTTTTTTTTTTTTTTTTTTTTTCCGGGGTTGGAGAATATGAAGCAAAGAATTAGATAGCTTAATGCTTATCAGGGCAAATGAAAGGAGCTATCTGCTGGGGGCATTATGAGTGTATCTCAGGTAAGAAAGTGCTAAAATTTTAGAATGGAAAAAAAAAAACAAAAACATGATCTGAAGTCTATTGGAACGACGACGTTTTCTTGTCCCCCGCGAGCCATAAAGGTCGCAGTCGGTGAAATGCTACCTTTAGCCGGAGAAGGCAAAGCTCTCAATTGGATGCCCGAATCACGTTGGCCAGGGCCACTGCCTCGTGCTCGAGCGAATCGATCTCTGAAATGGCGGGGAGTCCATTTGAGCGATACAAGAAGTTAGAGATTGGAGAGTCCCTCCCGCATGTCTCCCGATATCCAATCGCCTGCAGAGAGCTCAGCTCTATTCTTAGGGGCGCTTATTCGAAGCTCCCTAAGAATCTTCAGTCTCTCATATTCCAAGATACCCTCGCCGCGTTCCGCTTTCTTCCCAGTGAGTCTTCTTTTCTGTAATTCTTTATCATTTCATTTTTTCTATTCTTTTCCTTCTCGTTGTTACCGATTTCAAATATGGGCTGGCGTTTTACCTAGTTGTAAATTTGGCTCGAATCTGTCATTGATCGAACAAATCTTGTAATTTCAGGAAAAAAAAAAACTTGCTCTGGGATCTTGTAGTTTTATGTATCTGTCGAGAACTGAACGACTTGCTTGATACCGCTCGTGATCTTTATGAGAACAGAGACTGTGTGTGTGTTGTAAGCCTGATGTTGAGGGATTACCGAATCAGTTGAGCATTTAATTGTCAAGTTTTAGTGGCTTTAATCATTGATTACTTGACATAAACGACAATAGTATCAGAAATCTGCTAATTTGGGGGAAAATTGATTTTAGGCTTGCAATTCTTTGGCATATGGATGAGTATTAGAGAATTTACTGCCGGACAATTTTTTATCCCTCCTTAACCGAAATATTACTTGCTGATGACAAGATATGTCGAAACTTGAAAGAGAGGTGGTTGGAAACTTGTAGAAGCTACACGGAGATAACCTCACACAAATTTCCCTTTATGGAGAATTTTCCAATGTGGTTGAGATATCTTCACCTTTGAAAGCCTTGCATGTATTTTGCTTGTCTGATTCTCTGACAACAAACTTCCTAAAGCATTCTATTATATTGGAGCTCCTGTCACATGAACTATGAAACCCTGGCATTTTCATGAAAGTTGAACCAGTAACATTTCAAGCTTAAGTATGAAGTAGTTGATTTTGATCCAGTGCATAAAACACACATCTGTCAGTTAGCTTCTTGGTCTTGGTTTTTGCATTATTTAATTATTTTCTTTCTGCTATGAGCGTGTTATAGATTTGTTACTTCTGATCCATTTTTCTTCTATATATGGACTGCTTGTCATTATTGATTCATGTTTATTGATTTTAGGATGCAGAGACAGTATGCTGTTTCAACAGCTAATCTTCTCTTTCAGAGTGCCGAGGCTGTGTTGCCAAAGCAAAAAGAGAGTTTTGGCTGTGACAGAGTTCAAGCATGCAAAGGTTGCTTATAAGAGGCATTTCAGAGATCGACAGGAAGAAGGTATGCTTTAGTTGGGCTGTTTAAGAAACTTTCTATCTTAGTGGATGATGGAATCTTCTTCTTCTTTTTTTATTTTTTATTTTTTATAACTTCTCCCAGCTAGTACTGGTTATAAACTAAATATTCTAGTATGAAATAGAAAGCCTCTACTTGGGGTTATTACCTATTTTGTATAGTTAGACAGCAATCAGTTAGTATCAGAGAAGAACTAATTTGTTCTTAAAATGTAGTGGGAAAATCCCATTTTGGAAGAACTCTCACTATTACTCGATAACAAGATACATTCAGTAGCTGTCATTGCCCATTTTTATAGGACGCCCCAGAAAATGCACGAAGATCAACAGCCGCAAAAGTATAATGTGGAAGTAGAAATTTGCTTTTGGCTTCATCCGTGGGTTTTTCAGGGTATAGTAATTATCCGAGACAATGATGGAATAGAACTATAATTTTTTGGAGTATCATTTAGGGGCTGTTTGGTTAGTGGGCTCTTCCTTGAGTTGACTCTTTTGCATGTTTAGTTCATTTAGAAAGAACTAGTATAACTAGGTTAAACTTTTTTTTTTCTTTTTTATGTATATCCCTTGTGGAAGTATCATCCCATATATTCCAAATGGAATATATAAATGTGTTATATAAATTTTCTAAAAACTAACAAATAAACAAATTAGATAAACAAAAGAGAGCTTGGGCTCAATCGGAGAACAAGCACCTAAAGGAAGAGTTCAGCTCTTTGGAAGAGAAGAATAAGGTTTGTATGAATTTCTTGTGTTCATTCCATTCTCAATTGATGAATATATATACAGCCTTCTAATATACATAAAAGGAGATAAATCAAATCCTCTAATTGATTTACATGATCCCTGAATGTGGAAATGTATACACAATCATAATCTTTAAATATGGATACAGTCTCAACACTCCCTATCAAGTTGGAGCATATAGATGATATGCACCAAGCTTGCCACAAATGGATTGACTTCTTGGACCTTGGAGAGCTTTTGTAAAAATATCAGCCAATTGATCACTTGAATTGACAAATTCTATAATGATTTCTTTGGATAGAAATTTTTTCTCAAATAAAATGACAATTGATCTCTATGTGTTTAATTCTCTCATGAAAAATAGGATTGAGGCTATGTGTAAGACAACTTGATTATCACAATATAACCTCATATGTTTCAATACCCCAAAACTTCAACTCTTTGAGCAGTTGTTTTACCCATATCAATTCACAAGTAGTGGCTACCATAGATTGATATTCAGTTTCTGCACTATATTGTGCTACAACATTCTGTTTCTTATTTTTCCAATACACAAGATTATGACCAATAAAAACACAATATCATGAGGTGGACCATCTATCAAACAAGAGAGCCAGCCTAGTTTGCATCAGAGTTTCCCACAATTTGAGTATCTCCTTTGTCTTCAGAGAACACCCCTTCTCGTGAAGATTTCTTAATATTCCTTAAGATCTGAACAACTGCGTTTCCAATGATCATTTTGTGGGGATTGCATAAATTGACTTACTATACTTGCTGGAAAAGAAATATCAGGTCTACTAATAGTAAGATATTTAGTTTACCAACCAATCTTCTGTTTATACCGGGATCTGAATATGGCTCTCCTTGATTTGTTAATAATTTGACATTTGAATCCATGGGGCCTATCAATGGGTTTACAGTTTAGCATACCAGTTTCCTCTAATATATCCAGGGCATACTTTCTCTAAAAATAGTAATACCATTCTTACATTGAGCAACTTTAATACCAAGAAAGTATTTGAGTTCTCTAGATTTTTAGTTTGAAAGTGATGAAACAAATGTTCCTTTAATTGAGATATTTTTTAGATCATTACCAGTAATAACTATGTCATTCATATAAACAACCAAATAAACATATTGGTTAGACCAAGAATGTTGATAGAATACTGAATGATTAGATTTATTTT